GCATTAATATCTGTGCTGATATTGGCCACATCATGAGAAGAAAGGAAAGCTTAGAGAAGACAATGATGCTGGGGAAAAAGGAAGGAAAAAGGAAGAGGGGCCGACCAAGGGCAAGATGGATGGATAGCATCCTTGAAGTGACTGGATTGACCTTGAAGGAGCTGGGGGTGGTGACAGCCGACAGGGAGCTCTGGCGTGGGCTGATCCATGAGGTCACGAGGAGTTGGAAATGACTGAACGAATGAACAACAACAATCCGTGCTGAATAGGTAGGTATGAGATCTGGGTTGCTATGACTTTTTCGGGCTGTATGGCCATGTTCCAGAAGCATTCTCTCCTGACGCTTTGCCCACATCTATGGCAGGTATCCTCAGAGGTTGTGAGGTCTGTTGGAAGGTATGAGATCATTTCTGATCCATGGGTCATTGGCTGCTGGCCTGTGAAGAGCCTCCAGTAAAGCAAGAAACAGTTGCATCTCATGGGCATAAATATGGCACAAATCCTGGCACATCAAGGAATAAAAATTGTGACGACCCCCCCCCCCCCATCAGAAAGCAAGAAAAGAACTGATCTAGAGTAGTGTTATTCAAAATGGTGGCTCCTAAATTGGTGCATCTGGCAATTTTCCAAGCATGAATCGACACTGTAGAATTAATGCAGTTTGACACCATTTCAGTTACAGTAGCTCACTGCTGTGGAATCCTGGGATTTGTAGTTTTGCCAGACCTTTAGCATGTGACACAGCAGGTTAAACCACTGAGGTGCTGAACTTGCTGACCAGAAGGATTGAAGTTCAAATCTGTGGGACAGGGTGAGCTCCCATTGCTATCCTCATCTTCGGCCAACCTAGCAGTTCGAAAACATGCAAATGTGAGTAGATCAATAGGTACTGCCTCGGTTGGAAGGTAAATGATACTACATGCAGTCATGCTGGCCACATGACCTAGGAGGTGTCTACAGACACACTGCAGGCTCTTCAGCTTAGAAATGGAGTTGAGCACCACCCCTCAGAGCTGGAAAGGGAAGCCTTTACCTTTATTTGTGTATCTGTGTTTCGTTGTTTCTAGGCATTGAATGTTTGCCTTTGTATCTGTATATGCTGGAATCCACCTGAGTCCCCTTGGGAAGATAGTATTATTATTATTATTATTATTATTAGTAGTAGTAGTAGTAGTAGTATTTTCTGCTAAGGAGCACTGGTTCTGCTCTGAACCTCAAATCCCCTGATCCCATAGCATTGAGCCATGATAGTTAGTGCTGTCAAACTGCATTCATCCTATAGTGTAGACACATCCTAAATCAGCCTTAATTTGTACACAGTGAGTTCCAGAAGTGTTTAAATGTCTTCATCCACATCACTTAAGCACTTTGTAAAAATCAACAGAAAGAGGGCACGTGGAAAGAGTGACAAGTGGTAGCGTGTTTCCCAGGGATTATCTGAAATGTGAACCAAGGACTAAAATACTCAAGGATATAACCAAGAATGCAATTTTTGTTGTTGATGTTTATTCATTCAGTCACTTCCAAATCTTCATGACGTCATGGACCAGCCCACGCCAGAGCTCCCTGTCAGCTGTCACCACCCCCAGTTCCTTCAAGGTCAAGCCAGTCACTTCAAGGACAGCAGTCATCCATCTTGCCCTTGGTCGGCCCCTCTTCCTTTCCCCCCCCCTCCTGCACCATTATCTTCTTCAAGCTTTCCTGTCTTCTCATTATGTGGCCAAAGTATTTCATCTTTGCCTCTAATATCCTTCCTTCCAGTGAGCAGTCGGGCTTTATTTCCAGGAGTATGGACTGGCTGGATCTTCTTGTGGTCCAAGGCACTCTCAGAACTTTCCTCCAACACCAAAGTTCAAAAGTGTCCATCTTCCTTTGTTCAGCCTTCCTTATGGTCCAGCTCTCACATCAATAGGTTACTACGGAGAATACCATTGCTTTGACTATGCAGATCTTTGCTGCCAGTGTGATGTCTCTGCTCTTCACTGTTTTATGGAGATTGGTCATTGCTCTCCTCCCAAGAAGTAAACACCTTCTGAATGCTATAGCAAGTGATAAAGGGCACATCAACACTGTAGAATTAATACAGATTGACGCCCCTTTCCCTGCCATGGCTCAATCCATGGAGTCAAAGAATAATAGAATCATAGAATCCTAAAGTTGGAAGAGGCCTCGTGGGCCATCCAGTCCAAACCCCCTGCCAAGAAGCAGGAAAATTGCATTCAAAGCACCCCTGGCATGGCCATCCAGCCTCTGCTTAAAAGCCTCCAAAGAAGGAGCTTCCACCACACTCCGGGGCAGAGAGTGCCACTTCTGAACAGCTCTCACAGTAAGGAAGTTCTTCCTAATGTTCAGGTGGAATTTCTTTTCCTTTAGTTTGAAACCATTGTTCCATGTCCTAGTCTCCAGGGCAGCAGAAAACAAGCCTGTTCCCCCCTCCCTATGACTTCCTCTCACATATTTATACATGACTATCGTGTCTCCTCTTAGCCTTCTCTTCTTCAGGCTAAACATGCCCAGCTCTTTAAGCCTCTCCTCATAGGGCTTGTTCTCCAGACCCTTGATCATTTCAGTCGCCCTCCTCTGGACACATTCCAGCTTGTCAACATCTCCCTTCAATTGTGGTGCCCAGAATGGGGATTTGTTGATTCATAGGGTCTTTAAGCCTTTTCTGCCAGAAAGTCTTGATCTCTCTCCAAACTACAGCTCCACAAGTTCATAGCACTGAGTAAAGTGGAGTCAACCAGCGGCACATGCACCTAAAGACTGCAACCCTAACCTACCTATGCAAGGCATTAAGTAAAAAGATACAGGACTCGACTCAAATGAAAGCATGAAGGCAAACAATGATAAGGCCAGGGGTCTTTTTTTGCCTGCTCTGACAGTGGCTGCCCTCTTCACTTGCAGGCTTCTTATCGCCAGCATCCTTGGGAGGCGATGGCCTGCGGGCTGGGCTTCCTTTTCTTGCCTAGTGGTTTGCCCTTCCTTCTCTCTCAGACCCATGTAGCAAATGTTAAGCCAGCAGCAAAAAGGAGGGAGGAACGAAAGAAGGAGGGAGCTCAGATGCTCCAGGGACTGGGCAGAAACGGTCGACCAAGGCTTCTTCGGCAGGACGAGCGAGAGACAGAGACAGAGACAGAGAGAGAGAACTCGTTCATCAAATCCAGTCCTGGTCTTGATGGCGACCCTGGCAGCCCAGGCCCTTTCCACACAGCAGTATACAATCCACAGTGAATTGAATTATATGGCAGCGCGGACTCAGATAATCCAGTTCAAAGCAGATATCGTGGATGATCTGCTTTGATATTCTGGATTACATAGCTGTGTGGAAGGGCCCCCAGAAGGCCTGCCAAGTCCGGCAGTCGGCGCTTTCTCTTAATTTACTAGAAGGAAACCAAGCCAAACCCTGGCCTGGATCGCTGTGCGCACTCAAGCAGAGACATAGGAAATGGGTGGAAAGGAGGGGAAAAGAGAAGGTTTAAGGATCAGACAGGAGTAAAGGTCCCCAAGATCTAGTCATGTAGGGACTCCCTAGGCAAGAAAGAGAGCCTTCAGCACTTGGTATTCCCGGGTGGCCTCCCACCCAAGTTCCGACCAGGGCTGACCCTGCTTAGCATCCAAAACCAGACCGGTCAGGAGCTACCTTTCTGGAGGAAAGGGAAAACTTGTTCCTTTCTCTCTTTGGTAGCTGAGGAAAGACAGGAATAAAAAGAGTCCGAAAAACCCAGTCACGTGTCGAGGGGTTTCGCCCCTGTTGGCTTATTATTCTAATATCTCGCTGTCCTCTCTTAGACGAGATTCAAAGCGACTCATCACACGCGATGAATAATACAATTCACAAAGTAATAGCCACAACTTGGAAACATTCGAACAGAATTGAACACAGCATTGTTAAAAACGAATACCTCTATTTCATCGATTCTGAGACTTCACCGATTGTAAGACGCACACTCCTTTCAGTACCAGAAACAGGAAAAAAATAGAGACAGGCCCTCTACACTGCCATTTCATTCAAATAATCCAAGCAGGTAATCCACATTTGAACTGCATTATCTTAATCCACACTGCCATATAGTCCAGTTCAAAGCAGATAATCCGGATTTTATATGGCAGTGTAGAATGGGCCTTTGATAGAATATATCTTAAAGCTTTTTCTTCTTCTTTTTGGGCAGGGCGAGCAATATCTATACACCTCAAGGCACCCACGATTCTAAGGCCTCTTCTACACTGCCATTATCTGCTTAACCCGGGTGATATGGCAGTGGAGACTCATATAGTCCAGTTCAAAGCAGATAATCTGGGATCCGATCCTGGGATATAAAGACAGTGTAGAAAGGGCCATAGGCACACCTTGCTTTTAGAGGTGTTTATATAGGGGAGAGCAGTAAAAACACTACGCAGCACCCCCGGGATAGTTCTTAATAACTATATAGGCAGCCTTTTCTGGGCTGGAAGGGGTGGTATCCAGAAACGAACCGTAAAGGGGAAAGGGCTCCCCCTAGTTCCCCTTCCTCCGCAGGCAGGAGGGTCCCTCCCGCGTCCGCTTTGGGGCGTGGCCTAGACTAAGGCACCTGCTTGCTTGTTTGGGGCGCGGACTGCTCTGCCCCCGCCCCGCCCCGCCCCGCCCCTTCCCAGCCCTTGATCGTGTGAACCCGAGGAAGCGCCTAGGAAGCACCCTCCTCCTCCTCCTCCTCCTTCTCAGGCGGCGAACCTTCCAAGCGCTTTGGCTCGGATGCCACCAAGATCCGCGCTTCTCCCGCCCTCTCTCCCTCCCGAAGAGGGGCAGCAACAGCGGGAGGCGTCACTCCCCTTCCTGGCTGAGCCTCCTTCCTTCGCCTTGCAGTTTCCTCTCCCGCCAGCAGCGAGCAGCCACCGGACGCGAAAAGGGAGGCGCGCGCACAAGAGAGAGAGCGCGAGAGCGAGAGAGCGCGCGCCTGCACACAGAAACGCGCGCGCGCACACACACACACACACGCCCCTCCATCCAGCGAGGGGAGGGCTCCGGAGGCTTGGCATGTTCCTGGGTGGACGGGGACCAGTCACTTAGCGAGCCCCTGCCGCCGCCGCCGCCGCCGCTGCTCCTGGGCTGCCTCCGCCTCATGCCGCTCTCTCCCGCCGCCAGCTGGGGCTCCAACCTGTTCGTGGAGGTCACTCTTGGGCCGCCGGCAGCCTGTGGCTTCCCCGCCTCGCCTCCTCCGCCTAGCAGCAGCAGCAGCAGCAGGAGCAGCAGCATCTGAGGGTCTCGCCCGCGGGGAGAAGGAGGAGGAGCCGGAGCCCCACCGCCACACACGCCCCCAGGCAGAGCCCCGGAGGGATTTACTCGGGGTGCAACAGGAGCCGAGGGGAAAATGTACCTCGACCCAGAGGCCACCAAAGGTAAGCCGGGCATCTCGTTGCACACCTGTCGGGCGGCGAGCGGGCGCCAGGAACCGCCGCCTTTGGTTTGGGCGCGAGGCGAAGGGAGGGGGAAGGCGGGGGTCGGGGCGCGGATCGGCATACCTGGAGGGGGAAAGGAGCGGAGGAGGCCGGAGCCTGATTGGGAGGGAGAGAGGGAGGGAGGGAAGGGGAGAGGAGCGCGTCTTGAGGGTGGGTCGCCTGGAAGGGCGGGGAGGCTGCGAAGGAGGGCTCAGCCTTGGGCTCTCAAGGTGGAGGTTTCGAGGCGGAAGGGTCGTCGATTGAGCTTGGGGCGAGAGGAGGGGGGTCAGGCGCCGCTTCCCCCCCCCCCCCGTGTTGCGCTCCCTCCCTCTCTCCCTTGGGCCCCCAGACCCCTCCCTTTTCCCACGCCCGGACCCGCGGAGTTTCCCTCCCTCCCGAAGTTGGGGCGCTCTTTCCCGGTCCCTTTCCCCGCCCCTGCCCAGCCCCAACCTCGGAAGGCAGAGCGCGCCGACCTGCCTGGCATCCTTCCCCGCGGCTTCCCTCTCGCAGCCATCCATTCCTTGCCCGCGAGCGTTTGGGATTTGTGTGTGTTTTTTCCTTGGAGAGAACGTGGCTGCGGTGCTTTTGCTGGCGAGGCTGGAAGGAAGCGGTGTGTCAAGGTGGCGGCACCTCCACGAACTCCCCACCCAGCCCACCCTCTGGGCCTGCTTCGCCGTCATCCTCGTTGGTTCCCTCCAACCCTTCCCAGAACCTGTGGAAAGATGACCCTTCTTTTGGTGGCCTCTTTCTCAGTCAGAAGCAGAGAAAGGAGCGCGTGTTTTGCCTTTGAGTGGGTGCCTTGGAGAAGAGGAGTTATTTTCAGCACCCAGCTGGTAAAGCAGAGATGATTGAGGAGGAAGGCATGTTCAGCCTAGAACTTCTCCTCTTCAGCCTCCATATTCTTGGGGATGCACTGGCCACATTGAAATGGGTCAAGTCGCCAGTTGCCCAATCACTTGTCAAAATGGGAGGCCTCTGGTTTGCTGCCGCAAGCAAGAAAGCCCACTTGACTCAAGAAAATGCCTTTTAGGTTTAGGCTTCAGGGATCATCCAGTGAAAAATCCCCCACAGGGGCCAGAATTTGCAATCCCTGAGGATTGCATGTAATTTTGGAGGAGACAGAAACTTTCTTTTTTGTTTGCATTATAATGTAGTGCAGCATGAGCATTTTATTCACTGGCCAGAATGGGATAAAGATAAAGGTTTTCCCCTGACACTAAGTCCAGTTGTGTGGGACTCCTGGGAGGGGGGAGGGGTGCTCATCTCCATTTCTAAGCCAAAGAGCTGGCATTGTCCGTAGACACACCCAAGGTCATGTGGCCGGCATGGCTACACAGAATCATAGAATAATAGAATTATAGAATCATAGAGTTGGAAGAGACCTCCATCCATGGGCCATCCAGTCCAACCCCTTGCCAAGAGGCAAGAAAATTGCATTCAAAGCACCCCCAACAGATGGCCATCCAGCCTCTGTTTAAAAGCTTCCAAAGAAGGAGCCTCCACCACTCTCCGGGACAGAGAGTTCCACTGCTGAACTGCTCTCACAGTCAGGAAGTTTTTCTGTCAGGAATCTCCTTACCTGTAGTTTGAAGCCATTGTTCTGTGTCCTAGTCTCCAGGGCAGCAGAAAACAAGCTCCCTCCTCCTTATGACTTCCTCTCACGTATTTATACATGGTCCTCATCATGTCTCCTCTCAGCCTTCTCTTCTTCAGGCTAAATATGCCCAGATCTTTAAGGCACTCCTCATAGGGCTTATTCTCCAGACCCTTGATCATTTCAGTCATCCTCCTCTGGACACATTCCAGCTTGTCAATATCTCTCTTCAATGGTGGTGCCCAGAATTGGACACAGACCTCACAACCATTGTCACAATCATGAAACTGTGTGTAGGGGAAATGCCACGTGCAGCTTCATTACCTCCTTGGGTGACGGTTGCCCACCCGAGGCCCTCCAAGCTAAGTTCAAAAGCCCTGGGCCTTTGATCAAGAGTGAGCTGTCCCTTCCACAATGGCCTACTAGGTGTTGAAAGAGACTTAGACATGCTAGAGACTCGAAAGAGAGAAACTGCAGGGAGAAGAGAGGGTGCTGCCCTTGGCTCTGCCCTCCACTTTGACTGATCACCCACTTGTAGGATTCCCCCACTACAACATTACTCCTGAAATGTGGTTCTCAACATTTTTTAAAAAAATTGCATGTCCTTGTCCTTGAAGGGAAGATGGCTGCAAAGGCAAAGGGGTGGCTTCTAGCCATAATGACAAGATAGACCCTCCATATGCAGGACTTGAGGCTTAGGACAAATGGGAAATGGTGTGTGTCTCATGCTCCGCTTATACACTTCTCATAATTTCACTGATCCCTCTTTGGAAAGACAAGGGGAAGCTTTGGAGCTGCTGGCTGATATTCCAAGCAGTGAGCTTGTCTCTTCCTGCTTGTTCATCAGATACTTAGGGTCTGTTTCTATATTGTATTTATGGTTTCTATATAGTATTTATTATTTATTTAATTAAGATGTTTCTAACCCCACTCTGCTGAACTTGTTGACCAAAAGGTCGCAGGTTTGAATCTGGGGAGTGGCGTGAGCTCCCGCTGTTAGCTCCAGCTTCTGCCAACCTAGTAGTTCAAAAACACGCAACTGTGAGTAGATCAATAGGTACTACTCTGGCAGGAAGGTAACGGCGCCACATGACCTTGGAGGTGTCTACAGACAATGCTGGCTCTTCGGCTTAGAAATGGAGATGAGCACCACTCCCCAGAGTTGGACACAACTAGACTTAATGTCAAGGGAAACCTTTGCCTTTACTAACCCCACTTTTAGACCCACTTATGCTCCCATACACACGAAATCAATCAGCCTTAGCAATATTCTAGGACAAGCATTACTGATAAATAATAAATAATAAATAATAAATAGGGTATGTGGCGTGTTCCCTCTCTCAACACTGTAAAACTTGTTGTCCTTTACTCCACTTTTGTTCAAGTACAGGTAGAAGGAACAGGCAGCATCTACCCTCTGTAGTGTTCACTATTCATGGTTGGTTATTATGTATATAATTTCCTGTTCAGAACAGTTGTACTTTTCTTTCTAGTCTCATCTCAGCTTTTGTCAGCCTCTAAAACTGTTCTTGTGTACTGTAAAATAGAGGAGCAGAAAGAACCGTTCATAATGCTCCAGGAAATAGAGGCGGCCAGTCCAGTAAAGAACAGAATAGCATTGCAGGGGTTTTCACATTTTCTGTGTATTTTTCCCAGTTAATTTTTCCCAGCTGCACTACACAACACAGAAAAGTACACTATGGTATATTAAGCTGCCAAATGCTACTCCAAGATTTTTTGAGTAACTCCCATGAGTGAAAACAACAACACCTTAGTCTATCCATAATTCCTTCATTGTCAGTCTGCTTCCTTTGTGAGGATTTCTTGCTAGAAAAACTGAGACTCTGCATATTGTTTTTGAAGTGAAGGAACTGTGGGAAGAGAGCTCTACATAGATTGCCTTGAGCACCTCGAAGGGAAAGTGTGATAGAATGGGAAAGCAACACAAGAGTTCTGCTATCAGCTTTATGACTGCCAGGCTGTATATGGAGCCCCTGTGCCAGATTATTACAAGACAAAGACATTACTAGACCAGGACGAACCCAAAATGCAGTCCGTACAATACAACTCAGAATAGCAAGTTGCAGGTTCATGAGTACAGTATGATAATGGATCTGTTAGTCCTCCACTGTTGATCCTCTGCTTTTGAAATCAGGTTACTTCCACAGCCTACCTGCCATACAGCTCTCTGAATTTGTCTTCAAATATCCTTATGTTGGCAACCTACATAGTTTGCCCACATCTCACTAACCAATCAACTATTACATTTTCTTTCTTCTTCAGATTCTATTTTAAAAGGGCAGGTGCTTATGTATGCAGTCTCCACCTTCTGCAATTACAGGAGGTATTCTGCCCTTCATAATGGCCAAGCTACCAGTATACTTAAGTGTTTTTGCACTTAAGGAGCTCAGTAACATCAAAGAGATGTATGCCCTTCAGGTCAGTGTTTTCCCCAGAAATAATTGTATTATTGATTGTCCTGCCTCTGTAGGGAAGTGTGTATGTATGAATGTGTCTTCAAGCCACCTGTCGACTTAGCTCAGTGGTTCTCAACCTATGGGTCCCCAGATGTCTTCAATTCCCAGAAATCCTAACAGCTGGTAAACTGGCTAGGATATCTGGGAGTTGTAGGCCAAAACACCTGGGGACCCACAGGTTGAGAACCATGGACTTAGCTGATCCCATATATTTCTTAAGCAAGGAATACCCAGAGGTAGATTTGCAAGTTCCTTCCTTTAAAGCAGGCATGGACAAACGTTGGTCCTCCAAGTGTTTTGGATTTCAGCTCCCAGAAATTCTAGCTAGCTTACCAGCTGATAGGAACTGAAGGAGTTGAAGTCCAAAACCCCAGGAGGGCCAAAGTTTGCCTATCCCTACTCTAAAATATAGCCTATAACACCTGGTATCCCTTGGTGGTCCCCTATACTTAACAGGGCTGATCCTGGGTTGCTTCCACCAAAGGATCAGGTGCCTTTAGGGTATTGGGTATTCTGCATTAAACAGTATATTGATTTTCTATGCTTTTCAGACATTGCTAGTTTCCAAAAGCTCTTTTCCAGAGTTTTGAACCATTCTCAGAAGGGCTGCACTGTTATGTTCTGGAGCTCACTCTGTGGAAAACATCTCAGACATATTTTCTTATAGATGATCATTGATTTTAGTGGGACTTCCTTCCAGGAAGCTGTTTCAGCAATCAGTTTGTTACGTATTTTTTTTTTTAAAAAAAACTCAAGTGAGGAAAGTAGCAGAATTAAAGAGGAGCGGGCATTGTATTTACCCTCCTTCCCCTCCCTGCAATTACACAGTGATTCAAAGAATGGTGTTATTGACACTTAACTGCACATTACTTTTTGAAAGCCTAGAAATC